CGGTCTCATTTCTTGCTGGGTATAAAATCCAGTGTTTTAGTCGAGACCACTACAAGACCTCACACAAGACCATGCACCAGACCAGTCAAAGTGACAGGGCGAACAATCACAAAGGAATGCTTTTGCTGCAGTTCATTTGAATAGCTTGTGACTTGAATTCAGACTGGAGGTCTTGTGTTGGTCTTGTGCCGGTCTTGGGTGGTCTTGTGAAGGTCTAAAGTGGTCTCGAAAAAAAACAACACTGGTAAAATCTTGTCATTCACGCAAGTGACATGTTGGGCTAAAGGGTGACAGGACCTATTTTGCTGCCTTTGACGTTAGTGCGAGGACATTCTCACTGGGTATTTTTGAAATAAATCAGGACATGCACACTTTTCAGTACCTCCTACACGATGGAAATTATCAAGTCATGAAATAGTGTCTTAAATTATTTGCTAGATGGTGAGTAGATATGTCAAATAAAAATGACACGTACTCAGTTTTTTTTCAGTCGACTACTGGCTACTTACCAAGAGGCTTGATGCTAGACCAAAATCTAAATGAAATTGCTGCCGGCCCATTACAGATGGTCAAGGTCGTAACATTCCTTTGCGGTCTTCTTGTTTTTTTTATCAATTTCACGTTTCCAAGTATGTTGTTGCCTTTACAGCTTTTTTACTAGTTTGGTTTTTAGAATTTTCATTTAATTCTGGAGTAGTTGCCACTAGCGTTGTGTTTTCGCAATGTGCAGATTTTTTTAATAAAATTGATTCCAGTCTTGGAATTGGGTGGAAACTAACCCTCCCTCTCTGTGTGCTTAAAATCAATCAATAAATAAAGTTATTTGATAAATATGATGATGTGATGCGTCAAATCTACAAGATTCAGCAGCCTATACCATTTAGTCAGAGGTCTTAGGTAGCTTTGACCTACAATATTCACTGGGAGCCGGTCGCAGCCCTCCGTGTTTACCAGTACCCCCACTGGATGTGGAATTCGGTGTCCATGTTGTTCCCCTGGGCCCCTCTCTCCTTTTCGCCACTGGGGGCGCCCTCCTCATGTCATGTGGGCTTGTCGATGATAGCCACGCCCGAGTAGCTCCGGACGGTGGTCATGCAGGAGGGCAACACCACCCAGGCGTCGGCCCGCGAGTCGTAGCACTCCACCGAGGACAGGTTGGCCGAGCCGTCGTCCCCACCCACGACGTACAGGAGGGTGTTGACGGCCGCCACGCCTAGAAAAAGGAATTCCGTTGTGAACTGGATGGAGCAGGTTAAGAAATCAAGTGATGTGGTCTTGTCATCGCAAATCCTATTTACTTAGCTGAAAAGTGGGCTATTAACCACAGAAAAAAAAATCTGTCTTCTTTGAAGTGAGTTTCAAGTACTGTCATGTGTCAGTACTTATGCACACCGCTAGATTTCTGTTATCCACCAAAGTCTGCCCCAAAAGTTAGCCTGCTCTTTCCTGTGCCTCCTTCTCAGAGCTACTGAGAGAAGGCCATAGGTTCAAGGAGCAGAGAACGTAGAATTTGGGGTGAATTTATGTTTGATCCACGTTCACAGATGTAAAACTTCACGGGACTCACAAAACTTCCAAGGTAGTAAAATTATGCAATGAAAAAAAGATTTTGCAGCATGTTTAAAACATTACAAAAACTGGAAGGTGTCAATTCTAGCCAGATCTTTGATGCTCAACAATGTCTACAGGGTACCGTAGTGAATACATCACGTGCACAATTATGTATGTAAAAGGTACAGTGCGACAGCCAGTGCGTGAACCATGAACAAACGTACTCCATTCGTTTGTATGGCATTTACTTGTTCTAAATGACATCACACTTTGGTACTCTACAGTAGCAATATACAAACTGACAGATGTTATCTATAGTCAAATTTTTTGTGTAAGAATCACGCTTAAACCTCCTAACTTGTCAAATATACTGGTCTGTGCGGCATAGTAACAGGCAAAGGGTGATGGGTAAAGAACGAGACAAACAGACGGACAGACTGACTGACCAGCGTTCCTCCGGCAGTGGGTCATGTCGTTGACGCATGTCCACTCGTTGGTGTCCGGGTTGTACATCTCCACGCTCTTTCTGACCATGGGGCCGTCGTGGCCGCCCACGGCATACAGCATGCCGTCCACCACTCCCACGCCTACCGGTGATATATGATCAAGGGTCAGTTGACAAAAAGGTCCAATTTTGTCCCAC